TAATTCGGACCCTACCGTTGAGTGTTCGTCCAACAAGAGATAGGTTAATTTGGCATTTTGATAAAAATGGTCAATTCACTGTAAAGAGTGCCTACCATGTGGCTCAGACCTGGCTCCTCTCTCCATCATTGTCGGCATCATCCTCATCCTCCACCAATCCATTCTTTGAACTGTGGAATACGGTATGAAAGGCTGGTGTCCCTCCTAAAGTGAAGATGATGGCATGAAGGATCTTATCAAATATCGTCCCTACTGCTCACAATCTCCAAATGAGGAGAGTCCCTATTGACCTAATGTGTATTCTTTGTGGTTCGGCCTTGGAATCGACGTATCACATATTGGTCAAGTGCCCATTTGCTGCAGCTGTTTGGCATGCCTCACCATTAACACTCCGGCGTTCTCCATGTGATGGATGTGCCCTGAAAGAATGGGCTCTGCTGCTACTAAAGAACCTGGGGAAGTCGGATTTCGAGTGCTTTCTAATGCTCATCTGGGCAATTTGGACCGCAAGAAACGCAAAGCTCTGGGGTAAGGCCCTAAACCCAAATCCTGTGGAGGTAATGGGTCGAGCATTGGACTGGTGGCATGATTTCCTGCGGGTTAACAGTACTCCGTCCCAACAGGCCGTTCATGGGGGTCCTTCTTAATGGTCCTGCCCAACATTAGGTAGACTGAAGCTAAATGTTGATGGAGCCTGGGATAAGGAGAATTGCTTAGAAGGTGTGGGAATTATCATCAGAAATGACAAAGGAATCTTTATAGGTGCGGCTACCCGGGTGTTAGTGGACGTGTTCTCTCCCATCCAGGTTCCGCATTGGCCATGAGAGTGAGTCTTGAAATGGTGGTTGAAAGGGGTTTGAACAAGATTAATATCGAGAGTGATGCGCTTTAGATCATCTCAGTTGTGAAGGAATCTTCGGTGAATGTGTCTCCCATTGGACCCGACCCGTTAACCGTTAAAGAAAATATATTTTAAACCAATAAATAATCAAATGAAAAACATAATACTAAATAAGTATATACATACCATATTGTCACATCCAAAACATAAAAAAACACAATTTTCTTTTAAGTATATTTTCACTTACCCAAAGTCTTTAATAGTTTTTTAATTAATGTAGAATTGTAAAAAAATATAGAAAAAAAAATATAAATGCTCGTAATGACAAGCTTTACAACTTTCATGAAGAGTTTAACTTCAAAATTCGCCACTATAATTATATAAATCATAGATCAAAATTTAACCGTTGATTGTTGTTTACATTTACGCTTCATTGTTCTCATCAAATTTTGTTTTTTCGAATTTTGTTTTTTGAAAACTTGATCTATTAGAGGATGCAGGAAGATGAACGGTTTGGATCGTTGATATTATATTCAGAGTTTTACGGTTAGTGAAAATATTGCTTGATGTTTATAAAGTTTCTACAAACTATATGACATTGACTCATATTTCAATTAACCGTAAATATCGAAACGTGATATCAAAGATCTGAACCGTTCATCTTCTTACATTCGCCAGATGATCATGTTTTCAAAAAAAGAAAATTTAAAAAATGAAATTCAGTAAGAAGAATAAAACGTAAATGACAATTGATGGTTAAATATAAATTTAAGGTTTATGAATTATAGTGTTGGATTTCGAAGCTGACCCCTTCATAAAAGCTGTAAAGTTTGTCACTATGAGTGATTGTATATTTTTTTTTACATTTTTTAACTTCTACAATAATTATTATTAATTTTATTAATTTTGCCCTCAAATAAAAAACATTATGCATGAAGGTTTGGAGGATTTTAAAAATCTAAACGATAATGTAAGTGTAACCATTATCTACTCGTGAAGGAATAATGATGAATCACGAGTGTTTATATATTCTTTCACATTTTTCATACTTGTATGTATGTCTTCTTAGTTCTTGCCTATATATAAATACTATATTAGTTTATTTTAATTTTGGACGACAACATGTTAAGTAAAATTTATCATAGTAATGATAATAAGGAACTCTCATAATAAAAATAAATAATGACTAAATTTTTTTTTTAAAAACTTATATAGAATAATAATACAAGACTATATATTTAATATAGAATATATTGTATATATTAATATGGCTATTGTATTTTATAATAAATCTTTTAGTAATTAAATTTTAAAATTATCAAAATATATTTTTTCTTAACGGGTCGAAACGGGTTACCCACATGTTACCCGTGTGTATACCTGTTAAGAGCCCGTTATTAACAGGTTCTTAACGAGTCATCCGATAATGACCCGATAAGTTATCGTGTTGATCTGAAATCCGTTATTTTCATGTCGTGTCAGAAACTGTTGGGTCTAATCTGGAGAAGGCTTTTATTTTGGTCCATGAAAATCAATTTATTTCTAATAATATCTATGATAGATTTGAGAATCATCAATGGGGGCTTGGACTCATTTTTGAAAATTTTATTATTCCTCTCTTTCCACAGATGGTAAACAGCAATAGCCAGACAAGTTTTCTTAGTCAAGATAGAAAAGGTTATTTCCACGCCATTGAGAAGAAGCCCATCCAATGAAATCATGCCAAGAAAGCCTAAGCCAAATCTCCCCACACTTCCCCATCAAACTACTCCAAATTCCATAAATGTATGGACAATAGAAAATAGGTAGGTGTTCCATTGATTCATTATCCGACAGCAAAGAACACTTGTTTTTTTTTTTTTTTTGGAAAACAAAAGAACACATCTTTAGTTGTCATTTGACGTTTAATAGCTAACCACAAAATGAAGGCCATTCTAGGAATATTCTGACCATACCAAACAATTTTATGCCAAGGAACAATAGGCTTGGAAACCTAAAATTGATCCAAGTCGAGTGAGCAGTATAACCACCATTACCTCTAAGAAGCCATCTAACTTTATCCTTTCTGTTGGGATTGGGTAAAAAATCATCAACGAAAATTCTGATCCCAAAACTAATCTCATCCGTAATAGAAGGCCAATTCCATAGAAAGCCATTCACTACACTATTAACTAGAGCATTAACATTAATTCCTGCAGCCCCATTACCTCCAGGGTCCCAAATGAGAGCCAAAGGACCGACAGGATGCCAATTGTCATGCAAAAAGAAAAAAAAGAAGAAATGCTATTACCATCTTCGATTCCATGTCGTATAAAGGGTCGAGCAAGACCTCTAATTTACAACTTTCTCCAATTCCAAGAGCAAGAATTAGGAGCATTAACACTCCAACAACTTTTCCCCTTGAGGTGATAAGCATTCACCCAAGCAACCCAAGTATTCCTCTCGTCTTTGAAAAGAATCCAAATATGTCTGAGCATATCCAAATAGACAATCTCCTAAGCCCAAGGCCACCCTCAACTTTAGCGAGACAAACTTTATCCCAAGAGATTTTAGCATTATACTGAGTAGTAATCTTTCGGACCCATAACAAAACTCTCATTCGTTGCTCAGTCAAGTAAAATTTTTTTGGGATGAAAAAGGTGTGAAACCCAATAAATTTGCACGTTGCATAAAATAGCTTAAATGAGCTGAAATCTCCCAGCAAAGGAAAAAGATGAATTCAATTCTTTCAAGTAGAGGAACAATCATGGTAAGTTAGCTTGGTAGTAATGATAGGAATGCCCAAATACCTCGTTGGTGTGAAGCTAATCGAAGAGGCGCAATATTCTCAGAAATGGTCGCACTTAGTTTAAATAAAAGCTAATTGGCCCCTTAGCAGGCCTAGTTTTGATTTAGTTTATAAACCAAACATTTACCTGTTTTTTTTGGTGGTGCTATACACACATCTTTTTTTTACCTCCCACTCAACTCTTAATTTCCGACTGTTGGATCGAATGAATTAAAGAAAATCAAATGACATAAATTAACAAGGAATGTGTGGGAGGTAAATATGAGTGTGTGTATAGCACCAACCATCATTTTTTAGGGTATAGATATATAAAATGTATGACATCTATTGTTGTATGGTAGAAAAAAGGGTCTAGTTAGCATATGCTGCCTATGTCGATATAGAAAATTATTGTTGCAATTTTTTCAATTTTAGATTTATTCCTAGCTAATTAATTACGTATTTTATATAAAAATTTCAAGTATAAATGAAGACAGTCGTTGACATATTATCTCCACACAATATTTTCTATTGATCCCAGTACCCCAAAAAGAACTTCCAATAATTAAGTTCGGTTTAAGTTTTAGGTTTAGTTTAAGTTTATGGCTGCATGCTTATGATTTTCATTATTTATGAACACACTCTATTAATCAACAGTATTTCGTAGTGAGTTCAATCAATTGACAGGATTGATCAATAATCTTTCACAAAAGTTGGCGTATTTGCATGGCAGTCAAATTAAAAGTTGTGGCTTAAGCGGAAAAATATCCAATAATATACAGTTAAGTCACTACATGGTTATAACTTGGTTGTATATCTCTAATCTCTAATATTAGAAAGCCAGAAGCACACTTTGGTGTCTCAAGGCTTCACAAAAAACAATTGGACTGAAAAGCCCCTTAAACAAAAAAAAAAAAAGAACTGACCAAATTTGATACATGAAAACACACAGGGGTAATTTTGTAAAAAAAATAAATCTAAAATTCATTTTATTAGAAGCAAAAAATAAAAATAAAATAAAAAAAGGGGAAGACGTGTATTAAATATCACTAGAAAAGGGGGCAATAACCCCACTCCTCCTCCATTTTAGGAGAGAGATTATTATCCCATATAAATGTATAAAAATTTTAAAATTTTATTTTATTGGGAAAAAATTGATAAATCCCTCAAATAAAAAATAGAACGTGGAAACTGAAAACTGCACCCCCGTTGAGCAAAAAGCTGTTTGATAAATCCTTCCACAAATCTCATTTAAATTCAAGAATCAGAAAAGAGAAACGTGCACAGAGTCTCCATCTTACGAAATTCCCAATTTCTTCTCAACCAGGTTCACTACATATTATCTGATTACACAAATATATTTTTTATAGCAAATTGTTTATCCGTTCATTGCAAAGGCGCGAGAGAGAGGATGAAACAGAAAGATAAATTGACAAAGAGTCTTCCTCGGTACAACTTCTCAACTCTCAATCTTTATCTTTTATTCTCAATTCTCAATCATTTCCTCCTGTCAATCTTAATCTCAGTATTTTTAGTTTGTATCCCTTTAGATTAAGTCAAATGGTTGTTTATGTTCCTCCTGCGAATTAGCTTATTTTAATTAATTAGTATAAATTTTCATTTTTATGTTCCTTTTGCCAATGAGTTTATTTTAATTAATTTAATAAAATTTTCATTTTTGGTTTCTGGGTAAGTGAACGTTTGAAAAAATTTAATTGGTATAATCAGTTTTGAAGTTCGTTTGACAGGAAAAATACTGAAAATGTATATTTTGCACCATCCAACTATGAAAGGTTTCAGCCCCCCTTCCATTTGTTTTATTGCAAGTAGTATGAAAATTTCTGTTAACTTCATTATTATATACGTACTAATTTATTAGTTAAATAATGGTTACTCATTTTTGCAGAATTTAAAGAGGGGGGAGGGATTTTAGTTTCATTGTCCATTTTAATATGATGGTTTCCAATTTATATTGATTACTTATGTAATGCAAGGTGGATGTACTCATTAATCTTGAGTGACGAAGATATTGCTATCAAGTTTTTAAGGTACACTAATGTGTATTTTTATCTTATTTTTTTTGTGATTTCACAAACTCCTAATTGTGTTGCACTACTATGTTAACAATTTAATGGTTTAATTTATTAAGGTATTGTATTGGATACAAAATGACACTAATTCCATTAATTGTGTTGCCCTTTGTTTCAAATTGCTACCACTCAGAACTTGGAATTATCACAAAGTTTGGTTTACGAATGCTTGGAATAGAGATGGTTTCAGGGAAGAAAAGATATGATGGAGTAATACTTTGCACAGGCAAGGAAGAGGAGAAACATGTCTTGGTTTGCATGTATGTGGATATTGGTTTCTCCTTTTAGTCATATTACATAATTAGCGATTTGATTTTTTTTTTATTTTTTCCCTAAGATTTTATATTTATTTTCTAGCTAAATCATTTTTATTTAAGTTTGCTTTTGTCTTTAATCTCAGTTTTCATTAATTTAATTGTTATATGTGAGTTGCTATAGTTGGAATAAAGTTTTCTTTTTGTTGCATTATTGGATAATCTAATTGTCGTGACTGAATGGGAGTTATAAAATGTTTAGCTTAATTTCGTTTATGTGCTTTCTCTTTCGTTTAGAGGCTTGCAATATCTTAGAAATATTGAAAAGTAATCAATTTTTCCTTAAAATGAATAGAATGTCTCTTGACAAGTCCTTCTTATAATAAACAATGAAGTTGCCTTAGCACATGTAAACATACAATTCTTTATGTGTGAGTAATGTGAAAAAATGATCTAGAGCCGCGAGCTCCGTTGTCTCAAGCTTTCGGCACGTTAAGCGTGCAGAAGCTTAAAGTATAAAAATTAATATTCTCCTTAATACTACTTAGATATTCTGGCAAGTTTTTTTTTGTATTTACACACTCGGGCACTCAAGTAATCGCGTGTGTGCAAGCTATATATATGTTCAAACTATCACATCTTGTGTCGCTCCGTCTATAAACCAAAAATATAAAGAGATAATAATATTGTTTGATATCGCTGACATGATCTCTTCGCACTATAGTTCCCATATTTGTTTAATTACATATAAATACTATGTGGTGCGTTCGGAATTTTGAGCTTACAGATATGATAACTACTGAGGCTCCGCAATGAGTCTCTTACTATAGCTCTTTGAAATTGGCCCACAGTAGTAATATGTTAAAAGACAACGAGACCATGAAGCAGTTATGGGGACATGTTAACAGAGTTTCTGGACGGACAGGACACCAAATCGAATGGATGGTTTCACACGCTGCATGTAATATACATCAAGGAGAAGCCCTTTTTTCGTCTCATTGATCGCTCTTCTATATCAGCGGCCAAGTGAGTATGTTTATTGTTGTAGATAGGGATATGTTTCCGGTGGATTTTGATACAGAGGGTTGGCCTAGGTAATATAATGAATGTAATATATGTATAGTTGAGCTAATCAAGATGTTTACTATTTAAGAAACTTATATCCGTTTTCGTGATGGTTTGTGGTTGTTAGTTGATGATTAGTTGGGAAAATGTCGTGTAACTACCTTAGCTTGCAATCTGGTATAATACTGGATATTTGTGCAAATGCAAGGTTATGATTTGTAACAGAAGTTTGTAAGTAATACAAGAGGAATTATCAGCATATAAGTAAAGGTTAGAACAAGGGTTCTATTATTATGCAAATCGCAGGAACCATTATGGCTAAAAAGTCTTTTTCTTTTTCATGAATTAATTTGTAAATAAAATTCTTAGAAACATAGTTCGACATTTTTTTTTTTTTTTTTTTTTGTACATAACCGTTTATTCATTTTTCAACTCCGCCGTGTAAGTTTATCTTACATTGCCGGTCCCAAGCCCGGATAAAGGAGGAGGGGGAGGGCGTCAGGTAGTCGACAGCCGGCACTCCATGATCATGCGTCGAATCCTTGTACTCGGAAAATACTATTAAAGATATGCCTAAACTGTTAGAACATCGCTGTAAAGTACATACGGGCGATCCTTCCGGATAAAATTTACGCAATGGACGACTTCGTGTGCGCAAAACTTTAAGAGACACCAGAAAAATGACGCATCAAATCAAAGCCTGAAGCAAAGTGAGATACTAGCTGTATATCTTTAACAAATTACAGCAAACATATGAAGGAAGTAGACAGTGTTAAAATGAGCAAATGGAAGGGGCTATACAGAACTTGCTTCATATGTGGATACGAACGAGACTCCACTCAAGGTTGCTTGTGTTGGATGGGCACAATATGACTACCCTCAATTTCAACCTTGTCTCAAAAACCGAGACAACAAAGATAAAATGCCAAAGATTATACTTTTTTGTCTTAATTTGACGGGCGCAACGCGGATGGAAAGAAAAAAGATGCTAGGAGCAGAACGGTTAACAGTATGAGTACTACTAAGAGAAAGCCTATAACTATGCAGCGTATTACGACGATACGTGTGTTGATCATACTAGGTACATTGGCTGTATGCAAAATGTACTGAGAAGTACGGGTAGAGTTATATCTAGTGTGGAGAGAAAGAACGCGGAATAAAGGTCCCAATAGATAGAATGATAGACTACAAGAAGCTGAATACACGACTGAGTGAGTGTTTGGTGATTTCTCTAAGGCTTTGAAAGAGAAATTACCACTAGTGAAGAGAAACTCAAGTGGAATGGTTTAATCTCTAGCAATAGATGTACTTCGCGCACCATATTATCTCAGAACGAATGCTAAACCGGCAGATCGTCTTGACATTCACTCCATAGTGCAGACAAGACTTGCTAAAAGAATGAATTGTAAGATCATGTATCAGAGAGTTAGATGATAAACATTAAAGGCAATCCCAAGAATTGGTCAAAATAGGGAAACAAATGGAGGCTTATCAATGTGGATTAGTGACGTTGACTGTCTTGACGTTTGAACAGTAGGAGGTTGGTTATACTGGGGCGTGTTCAGAAGATTAGTGTGACTCTCTCATATGGTTGAATAATGGTTTAGACCTTGTGATGAACTGGAAGTGCATGATGATAACAATATGTCCTGCAGAATTAGCGCGAGAAGTATAGTTTTAATGGAGGAGAAGATAGTGGTAATAGGCCATATGACACCTGAAAGACTTAGAAGAGCGAGTATGGGGGAGTCTATGCACTTTGAATGAGTTGAGTAGTTTACTGTGGAAGCGTTTACCTCATTGTTGCTCCGTCGCGATGTTTTGGGGAGTAGGAATAAAACAGAGCGAGGAAGAGCGGAAGCAAAAGTGTCTTAGGATTATCGCAATGGCTTGTATCTCTTTATTGGAGTCTATGGAACTATCTCCGTTATATAATAGAAATAGAGAGAAGAGGAAGTATGTGTCTCTACATCCAGCAAAAGAGATAGCACGTCCGTCGTCAAAAAACGACAAATAATGTTTTGTTCTCTCTCAATATGTTATGAGAGAAGCGCATCGAATCGATATTTTTCTGGTTAAATTATAGTCACATTATGAAGATATGTATAGCTCAAAGTTACTTCGTCTATCATTCTCCTTAGTGGTATAGTTTGAGCTGGTCTAAATACAAACTATACAATACCAGCATTGTGTGGATATGCGCATTAACAATACCTCAATAAGTTGCGATTGAGATAAAGATATGAACATAAGTCTCTTGGAAGTTGTCCAAGGATAACTAGTTTATGGCTGTGTATCTTAAAGATAGAAAAGTGAACAAAAGCAATATCAGAGAATATGATAATCACTACACGGTTGTGATAGTGGAGAGAGTAGAGGTAGTGAGCCGACTATAATGGAGTGTGTGACTCATCACCATGTGCTCTCCTGTTTATTTTCTTATATAAGTTGCGACGGCAAAGAACTCGTATCGGCTTATTTTCTCCGCGAGACCCGGTGCTGAATTTTGCCACTATACTCTGTAAAAAGGTATTCTTGGTGGTGGAATTGTAGGAGGTTAATCAATCTATTAGTAGAGTGAAGGCTAGAAGGAATGTTAGTTATAAAGTCAGTGTCACAATCTACTGAGACCAGTTAGGGACCCGTGACTAGAGTGGGTGCAAGAAGGGCTCATGTTATTAGCACGTGCATAGGACCGCCGATAACAGCAAGAGATGTCCGCCAAGGAAATAGCATGTAGAAGTATGAATGTACTGAGTTAGCGGCTTATGACTATAGGTAAAGACGACTGAGATTCACCAAAGAAGATAGGCCGATATTTTGGATTAGCCTCTTAGTACATTAGTCAAGAGCCAGAAGAGGCAGAAAGGAGCCATAAGGGACCGTGGAACAGCTCGCAGATGTGAGTTTGCTAGTCCAGGCACATGGGGATGTGAGAGTTCTACTCGACAATAACCAGGTGTGAACGCCGCGATTAACAGGAAGGCCAAGATAGGGGAAATGTTATTCCTATATCTCTCAATCTTTATATTCTCATATATTTAAAAACTAGGACATGGAAAGGAGTGCTTCTATATTATGTGAAGAGAGTTCATAATGTGTGCAACGGAGTCTAAACTCAGATAGGGTGTTCGAAAGACATGACAGTCTACCGCTTCATTGCCTGTTTATTTGAGATAGTTTTTCGGATATGTTGTTAGACGAAGTGAGTTATTAAGCTTAAAGAAGTAGTGAGAGACATTATTGAGAGCATAGCTACAGATAGTATGCCACCAGCCAATATACACCAACTCCTTAGAATATGCTGTTGTGGCGTAAAAATTGTGCTATTTTTGCAGATGCTGCATGTGGACCAAGATTCATACATTACATTTCATTCTCAAGTATTTGGCTTGACATGAATGAATTCCAACTTTTGATTCACATCATAGTGCATATACATAGAAATACTCGAAAGAATTGAGGATGCCAAATGGAGTGGCGAGACGAGCACTTCCTCAGTCTGCACACATTCCATAATCAATATTAGCGGAGTGCAAAGAGTTGGCGGGTATTGTACAAATGCTCATTGCATAGATGAGAAACTATAGGGAGTGAATTGTATGAGCTAGAGAGTATCGTCAGTACAATGTTGACAAGGCTTCCTGAGAGAGGAAGTAGTCAAATTGGAGCACGCATAGCTGAAACAAAGGACCACAGGAATTACGGGCTCTCTGGGCCCAATGAGTTCCGCGGCTCTCGGTGATTGTGCATGCCAGGCGCTGCAACTCGATGTCAGACCAGAGACTCGAAAGTGAACTACCTCCATATCGGAAGAGGTGTTGCTCTGTGTGGAAATGCTTAGGAGGATCGCGGGAAAATCTAGGATTAATACTAACCCTCCAATGTGCTTTTAGTTAATTTTGGGAAATTAATGCGTTTTAATGTATGTTTTGGTCCCACAAGAGTACTTTATTTC